CTTCTTTAGTATCTCATTAAAAAGCTTAGTGAGCCACACAATTTTAGTATCTCCTAACGCCATCCAAACCTCTATTAGAATATCATCTGGCCCACATGCCTTCCCCTTTTTCATCTTCTGAAGTGCAGTTTTAACTTCCGAGACTCTGATTCCTCTTGTATACATCACATTAGGTTCTCCTTGTGACCTAAGATTGTCAAACTCTATTGCATAATCATCATTATAAGCTTCTCAAAGTAACTCATCCACTTTTCCATAATGTATTTATCTCTTGTCAGAACCTGATCCGTATCATCCTTAATACACCTCACTTGATTTAGGTCCTGACACTTCCTTTCTCTTATCTTAGCTAGTTTATATATATATCCTTCTCTAGTCCTAAGTTTCCTATATACCTCATCTAAGTAAGTAGAACGAGCCTTATCAACTGCTCGCTTAGCTTCTTTGTTTGCTTCTTTGTACTTATTAAAAGTTTCAACATCCTTATGCTTTGGTAAATCTCTATATAAATCCCTCTTGATCCTAATAGCCTTTTGAACTATTTCACTCCACCACCAGGTTTCATGTCGCAACGCAAATTCCAAAATAGATTTCCCTTCTTCGTTTCAGGCTCCAAAACCAAAACCACCATGGATCCTTTCGAAGTTTTCCCTATCCTTACCAACATGCCCATTGAAATCTCCTCCAATGAAAATGCTATCCTCATTGCCTACACCACACACTAAGTCATCCATGTCTTCCCAGACCTTGACTTTAGTTTCCGCATCCAATCCTATTTGTGGAGCGTAAGCACTAATTATATAGATGAACTTATTTCCTAGTACCAATTTGAGCATAATAATTCTATCCCTTATTCGCGTAATCCCAACTACGTCATCCTTCACAGTTTTGTCCACTAGAATACCAACTTCATTGCGATTCCTTTCCCAACCTGTATACCATAACTTGTGTCCTAAATTTTCAATCTCCTTTGCTTTCTCTCATGTCCACTTCGTTTCCTGTAAGCACAAAATGTTAACTCTTCTTCTTACCATAACATCTACTAACTCCATAGATTTACCAGTTAAAGAACCTACATTCCAACTACCTAAATGAATTTTCCTATCATGGGCTAGCTCTGCCCCTTACACACATCCATGAATGTGCAAGGACCCCCTCACATGTTTTTCACCATATCCGGGGCCTGACATGGCACATGGGCTCACCTTTCCCCCTGCATACGTCCATGAATGTGCGAAGACCCCCTTGCCTATTTAACATTATACCCGGGACCTGACATAGTGCGTCGCACGTAGGGAACGCCCCAACAGATTCTATGTGAGTGAAATCCATGAGAGTGACTTATTTTTACGTTGGTTATCAACCTACCGCAACCCTCATCCTTTACTCGGGCTTGGGACCGGCTATACAAATGCATAGACAGAGTTACTACTTAGGCTCGCAACTTGCAAAAAAAAAAAAAATTAAAAATGGGTGTAGTTTGTTTTAAGAGAATATATAGCCATCTAAGAGCAAGAGAGAGTGGATAGCCACACTTGCTGCAATAGTCGTTGGCATACTCGTAGCAAATAAAGTTATCGGCTGTTGCAAATGGTAATAGCTTTTTTTAATAAAAAAAAATACATGCGTTGGGATGATTTTATAGAAATCTATTATTCATACAATTTTAAATAATTAAGTGTCATTGTAATTTTTTATTTTCTTTATATTAATTGAATGATAATTATTTATTTTTTAGTGGTGTGGCATAAATAATATTTATTACCATCTTGAGAGGTATGTTTGGTTTTTTCCCTTTTTTACCAAAATTTGTGTAACTTCTGGGCTTAATTACTCCCTTCTTCGTAACAATAGTTTTCATTCAGATGGGATAAAATCCTATCATTCACAAAATTGTAGTCCCACTAAATTAGATCTCATCTACCCATTTAGATTCGACACTCATCGTTACAAATATAAACTATTAAGTTCCTCTCGCTCATTGCTCCCTCAAATCTAATCAACTTAGGATATTTTCTCTCAATCTAAATAAAAAAAATGAACAAAATCAACTCATTGAGAAATCTAATACGTGTCTTTTTGATGTTTATGCTATCATAAAATATTAGAAATGTGTTCTAATGTAAATTTATGCAATTTTTATAATTTTTTCAATATTTCCACTAATATCGAGATTTTTTTCTGAAATTTTTGTCAAATTGAAGTACCGATATTTCTATAGATATTAATATTTTCATCTTTGGATAGTACGTGGTTTGTCATTCTCAGCCTTTGTGGGTCAGATCGTGGTTGCTAAAAGTTAGAATATATGAGTTGAGACAATACCCATCATCAAGACCAACAATTTATCCGCCTTATTAGTGCAACACACAATTCAGACGACAATCTAAACTTATAATTTAATTGGTACATCTTACATATGTGGCAAGACCTATCTGATTGTAAAGTGTTTTTTTTTAAGTCATTCAAAGTAAAGTATTTCAAGCTTAACTATTATTAAGTTCAATATATTTTGGTTTAATAATGTTATAAATCACATTTAATATAGTTCTCTAATCTTGAATTGGATTGATCGAACCTCTCATTTAAGCTGGTTGGGCTCTGTTATCATGATGGAATTTGGATTTTAAGAACATAAATTATAGGATGTAGGCCAAATTTTTAAACCTACAAAGGTAATAGCAATTTTAAGTTTGATAGAAATAAATCACACTTTACAACTTAATTTGACAACATTGTCCTTTATTACATCTCTCTTTCTTCTTCTAAATCTATCTCTTTCTCTCATCTCTAATCATCTATCTCTCACTCTCTCTTCCCTCTTTCTTCTCCCAACTGGCTATCCCTCATCTTCCTTCTCTAGCGTTCATGATAGAACGCCTTCACCGTTGAGTTCGTAACCGTCATCATCGAGGTAGTGAGCATCATAATGGTAACGTTAATCGATGTTATTTGTTCTTTTATCCACTTGTCGACCCTCTCTTTCCGGTGGTTGTTTGGTTGGGGCTTTTACTCTCGTGAAGGTCTGAGAGTAATGGGACCAGAGGTGTATGTTTCTCTGTGCTTTTATTTAAAATTGAGAAAAAATTCTTAAAATGATCTACTTACCCTAATGGGCCATTAATAAAATATTTTTTTAGTTCATAATTTAGAAACTCTAATTCTACGACGTGAAAAGGATGCAAGTAGTATTCGTAACGATTATAGTATTTAGTTTGTGTTAATACTAATCAATTACTGTCCTAATTAAATATCATAAAATTAATAGTTAATAGTGTTGGAGCATCATCAATATAGCACCAATGTTAAATTTTAGTATTTAAATAAACATTTACTATTTAATGTAATTCTCTCTTTATACTTATTTGGTGCCAATGACATAACTCTAACTCAATTAAATTCCTTAAATTTCGTTGCTCTTAAGATGAACAATTTCAACTTATTCCTTCTTTCACCAAAATCCTAATGATACACTTGTTACCAACTTGAGTTAGATTCAACATTTTCAACAATGTTACAAACTTCAACCACCTTTGTTACTACATATCGCTTACTTAAAAGGCACACTTGTTGGCCTCATTTGTACATTGTCATTCACTAACAAATGTTCTCACTCTATAAATTGTTTTTTATTCGACCACATTTACAACTCTACTCTTCTGAAATTATATATATAGGGTCTGTTTAGTTCGTTGATTCGAGTTTTTAATTCGAGTTGAGATGTAACTTTATGTGATAGTGTTTTATTGTAGTAAAAAAGTTAGATGTGACTGTTTCTGAGAGCTTTTTACTGTAACAAAACTCAAATTCTAAACTCGAATCGGTAAAATGAACAGGGTCTATATTTCACACACTGACACAATCTTGATCCCTCACCATTTGTCAATAATTTTCCTGACACCCATTGCATCACTCCCCACCTCACTAACACCTGGACACCACATGCTTATCCTACAGTGACTAAGGCTACCTTTTACTCCTCTTCCATTAATTTCTGACCGTCTATTTTAATCCGACGTCTTCCATTTTTTCGTCAGACTGGTCAGGCAAAAAGTACCTGCCTGACCAAAGACTAAACCTAAATTTATAATAATAACATAAATAAAATAATGTTATTTTAATAATAAGATTTTTTTTATCTTCTCTATAAAAATAGACAGAGAAAGGTTATTTTTAATAAGGCCTCGTTCACTTCACCGATTTGAGTTTTCAGTTTTAAGTTTCTACAGTAAAAAGCTCTAAAAAAATGTCACGTCTAACTTTTTCTGCTACAATGAAAAGCTCTCAACAAATGTCACATCTCAACTCGAATTGAAAACTCGAATCTGCGAAGTGAACGAGGTCTAAATTTCTATAAATCGAGAGATATTTTAAACTATTTTAGAAAATCAAAAACACTTTGACACAAATTATATAATTGAGGAGACATTTATAAAAATGATTTAACAATTGATGGTTCCATAATCAATTTGAACATAAAAGTTTTTAAAAAGTTATTTTATAAATAAGACTTTCCTATTAGTTTTTTTTTAATATATAAAAATGACTTTAGAAAAGTTATCTTTAAAATAACTTTTTAAATATTTTTATTTGCAAACATCACATCTTAACTCGAATTAAAAACTCAAATCAACGAACTAAACGGACTCTTAGAAAAATTTCCACGTGTTCTAAAATCAGTAAAAGTGATTGCTGTCGTTTATCGCTCTTTATTTATTTAAGATCTAAAATTCAAATTTGAAAAATCCTTAGACTCCGTTCATTTTGCCGATTCGAGTTTAAAATTCGAGTTTTGTTACAGTAAAAAGTTTTAAAAAATAGTCACATCTAATTTTTTTACTACAGTAAAAAACTCTCACATAACATCACATCTTAACTCGAATTAAAAACTCAAATCAACGAACTAAACGGACTCTTAGAAAAATTTCCACGTGTTCTAAAATCAGTAACCATCAGTATAAAATAAATACGTTAAATAGAGGAATTTCACAAATTGGCTTCTTCTAGAAGGCTTATTAACTTTGCGCTCTCTGCAACCTCTCGTCTTCAACAATGGAGTTTTGGGGTAATATTTCTCTCTCTCTCTACGATCATTCCCCTTTGCAAGGATTTATGTTCTGTACTATGTGCTTGATCGCTTTTCCCTTAGATTCGGAACTATTTAGCCGTTTGGTTTCCGAGAAAACGAGGGCAAAACTACGGATTTTAGGACTTGGATTTTCTCCCCTACTTAGGGTTTTGAAATTCCTCTTTCCAGATTCTGCCGTAGGCTCTTTAGCGCTTAGATTTAACACTTCCCAGAACTGAATGCCAGTTGAAATGTTCACTCGAAGTTCGTACTTGCGTATATATTATTTGTATGTATATATAGTTTTGTGTACATACTTGTTTTCGCTTTGATTTCTCATTTGGCTTTTGATTCACTTGAAGGTTTGTATTTTTTACTCTAGTTTTGGTTTACAATCAAAATGTAAGAGAAAAAACCAAACAATTAAAAAAAAAAATCTTGATTCAGTGTGTGCTATTACTATTTATCCCGGAATAACACATAGCTTTTTTATGGATTTTGTTCTGAGAAGGGTGTTAAGCTAAAATTTCAGGCTTTTGTATTATAACTATTTAAGTGGTCTTCTAAATGTTTATTTACAGATAAGAATTAGTTAACTTATATAAACCCTTTTCCGTTTATGTTTTGCTTGTTGAATTGGGGGAGAAAATGAGAATGTTTTGTTAAATTAATACAGCTATAAGAACGAAATGGCCAATGGGATACTGCTAACATATTATTTTGAGAGTGATGTGAAATGGGTATTTGTTTCATGACAACGCAAGTGTAAAGCGAAGCAAAATATTTGCCATTTTTTGTTCTGTACATACCATTAGTTGGAATTACTAGTTTTTACAAGCGTGATTGGATGCCCAGGTGTTGAGGTGAAAAGTGGGGAGTCTTTTGTGGTGCAAGAAGAGTATGAGACGATCTTGCATCTCTCACTGGTAATAAGCGATTTGTGTTAGCTTCAGAGTGGGATTTCCTTGCTTCCCTTTTCAACCACGTAATTGATAATAATTGTGATATGGTATCCAAACCGTTTCATAATGCAGGCTTGTCTGGGTGAGGTCAAGAAAGACAAAGGGAGTGAACCTGTGCACCTGTTTGCAAAAGTTGATGATAAGAAGTTTGTTATTGGAATACTTTCTTCTGAAAAGTTCCCTCAGATTTCTTTTGATCTTGTGTTTGAAAAGGACTTTGAGCTATCCCATAACTGGAAAAATGGGAGTGTCTACTTCACTGGATACAGATCTTCTATTTCAAATGGATATCCTTTTGTTAACTCCTTTGAATTTGTTAATGTATGCCATGTTTTCTTTGAAATTTTTGTGTCTTATGCTGTTTAAATTGTCTGTGCTTGTTTTTTCCTTGACTGCATTTTTCTTGTCTTCCATCACATCTGGTGAGTAATTGTAGTTTTTTTATTTACTCTACAGTCTCTACTTGTAATCTGCTCTGAGCATTAATATGTTTTCCAGATGAATACTCAGATTCTGAAGACGAGATTGCACCTGTTCCCATTGAGCTTGGTAAAGATGATTCTCATTATTATTTGCTTCCCTGTGTGTTACCTTGTTGAGTTCTTTGTCTTGATATGGTTTTTAATGTGTTTATGTAGGTCAATCTAGCTTACAGGCTAAACCAGAGGAAAAGAATGTGGACGTAAATAAAGATGTCAAATCTGATCAAAAGGTTAGTACTGGCAATAATGAAAAAGAATCATCGTCATTAGACGAGGCATCTGATGAGAGCAGGTATTCTCATCTTTTGTAAGGAATTTTATATAATGTCTTTGTTAGCTCGCAAAATTCATATATCTACATGTATTTGTATAGGATGTATGGAATGCCTTTTCAGTAAAATTAACTTATTTTATCCTGATGGAGACATGCAGTTATTAGTGCTAGTCGTATATCATCATTAAATGCCCTTGCAGGAATGATTTTGGGATATTGTTGTCTTGCTTTTCTTGTTGTTTAGGCCCAGGTCAAGAGTGAGGAAGAAAGCAGTGATGATGATGATGAAAGTGAAGATGAGGATGACAGTGAAGATGAAGAAACTGATGGAAGTGAAGAGGAGGAAGAAAACAAGGTTAAAGGCCGCTCATATCATGCATCCTTTTTTTCCCCTTTTTTTTTAAAAAAAAAAAAAAAGAGTTTTACTATGCTGCTTCTGGAATTTGTTGATAAATGAATTCTCGTTACTTTTATTTTATTTTAAAGGTTGATATAAGCAAGAAAAGACCTGCCGAAGCTTCTAAGAAAACTTCAGGTGGAGATAAGAAGGCAAAATTTCAAACTCCCGAAAAGGCTGTTGCAAAGACAAGTGAGTTTCTTGCAATCTACTTTCGTGCTCTTATTCTTAGGAGTAACTTTTTTAAATCAACCCTTATATTTCGAGGCCGTTTGGTCCACGGGCTCGAGTGTTTTGAACCAACATTTGACAAAACTTTTTGAGGCTTGGTTCAAACAAGTGATTTGATGTTTTAAGCCAAAAAAAACCTAATAATTTTGAGTTTAACACCACCCCCACCTCTTTTCGATATGTCGAACCAAAAGTTGAAACCACATATTTCGAACTTTCAATTTCAAACATCAAACGTTCAAACCATCACGTTTCGAACCTATTTACCAAACGGTAGTTTTTATTTATGATTAAACCAAGTATTCTGCAAAATCCGGTCTGAAATTATGTTTCAGATATACCAATAGCGTGTCATTGTTTAAGTTGCTCAAGAGTAATCAATTGTTGATATAGGTGGCAATAAAGTTGGTGGCCATACTGCAACTCCTCACCCTGCAAAACAGGCTGGGAAAACAGCAGCTAAGAATGAGCAGCAGCCAAAACAGCAGGCTCCAAAAGCAGGTGGAGCGTTCCAGTGCAAGTCGTGCAACAGGTACGCAGCCTCGTCTTTTTACTTTTTGTTCTCTTTTCTCTAGTTCTTGTGGTTGTGTTTTGATTTCTTGTTGCTATTCTTGTAGGTCGTTTGGCTCAGATATTGCGTTGCAGTCTCATACGAAGGCCAAACACGCTACCGCAAAGTGAAGGGCCTAGTAGTTGCCTTGTCTTAATGGCTTTTTTGGTGAATAGCACCAAGTAGTAGATATAAAAGGAAGAAACTAGCTTTACTATTTCAACTATTTCATCACAAACTGGGTTTAGACGGGTTTGTTGTGTTGATACTTGAGACGTCAAATATTTGTCTTGAAGTCCACCAGACCATTTTGTCTATAATATCAACTGATGCTTTTGGAACTTGATCTAGTTCTTTTAGATATCAGCAACTGATTAATGTTTTCTTGTTAAAGTCCATAAAGTCTTATCCTTGGTAGATATGCTTTGTAGCAGTAAAACAATTAACAACTCCAATTGATGAAAGAATTCTCTAGAAAACAATATAGAAAAGAAAGATCCCCAACACTAGAGGAAAATCTATGGCATGAATATGATGAGAATATGAGCATTGCTTTTCTTTCTCTATGAACAGTAGGTGTGTAGTTTACCTGGCTTTCAGTATTATAATTTTGTGACTTGTCTAATTGAGGTTAAAAAGGAAACGAAAACTCTAGAACGATTTGACTCAATAGTTTCTTTTGTGGCAACATCATTTGCAAGTTCCAACCTGCTCACAGGACTCTTTAAAACGAGCTACACAAAGATTTGCATAAGGATTAACTTCACAAATGAACTTTCCATTTTGTACTTTGTTTTAACATGCCTTCCAAGGGGTTCATTTTGTGCCATGAATTATGTGCCCTAATTTAAAATACCCCCTATATTTATAAAACTAAAAAAAAAAATAATGACATGGCACTAGTTGTATTTTTATAAATTTTAAATTATTGATTTTAAGTCAAACTTATCTCATAAATTATCATATTTGTGTCAACTTGGCTCCTGATTTTTTAAAAAATTGGAGAGCAAGTTGACACAAAATCAAGGGTGCTTTAAACTAGTTTTCATACTTTGAGGGTGAAATAAGCCCTTTTCAAAATTTAAAGAGATATTGAAACATGGTACCAAATTCAGAGAAAATTTATGAAATCAAACCTTTGCACAATCCAGAATCCAAATGCACAAGGTGTCTGCTCCAGTTTGTTGCAATGGGTGGTAGGGAACAAGTGTGAAACGAAAACACCTACACATGGTAACGAGAAACCATACTCAACCCAAAAAAAAATAAAAAAAATAAAAAAAAATGCTTTGGTGTTCGTTGACACTTCAAGAGACAAGCTTAGTTTAATTTTATTTTTTTCCACTTGACGTCTCTGTTAAGAGTTTTCAAATAATAATAAAAATTATTGAAAAAAATAATTTGTTGGAGAAAAGTTTAGTGCTCAAAAATTAGGTATTTGGTGATATTATTTTATTTTATTTTATTTTTCTGATAAATATTATTTCTTGTAAACAATGCAGGGAATGTTTTTCTATTTCTTCTAAAAAATTTATTTATTTATACATGATTTAAAGATATACAAAAAGCATTGTAAAGATATACAAAAAGCATTATTATTTCTTCAAATGTTAAGGAACACACAAAAACGTTTATTTTCAATGAATTTTAACAATTTTAGCGAAAGATAAAATTGTAAAACAGAGATACATTATAATTTAGGCGTCATTCATGAATTTTTGTTCAATCTCTAGATGCTATGTCTTAGCCCATCAATGAGTCCGTATCTCCTTATTGTTCGACTTCCTGGAGAAATTTCTGATAAAGAGATTGCAGAAGAAAACACCAATTTGGAAGACAAAACACCAATTTGGAAGTTATAAATCATGCAAGTTCACAAACTTTTAGAAAACCATCTTTATGCTACACCTCATCGTTAAAAACTTAAAAGCATTACAAATAGCTACTTCTAAGTCTCTCTCTATGAAATTAAAATAGGTCCGACATAACGGAAATTTCGCAATCAAAGACCTCCGTCAAATCTTGGACGCAAGCAATGGTGAAGACAAGCCTGTTGTCATGAAGAGATACAACTGAAGAGCTGGGATTTTGATGTTCGGAAGCATTAACATCTGCACCTGAAAGTTGTCGAGTAAAGAAGAGGCCTTTTACCATGATATTATGAGAAGCCAAAAGATTCTAGATATCAAACTCAAACTGTAGTTTACGGGTCTGTAGGAATTTGTTTCTCTATTTATTATAACATTCGAAGGATTAATCTCCCCCGGTAACCCTAAACTTGAGAGTCATTCCCAGTTTACTCCATAATTTTCAAAACTCCCGCTACATTCGAAGGATTAATCTCCCCCGGTAACCCTAAACTTCAGGGTCATTCCCAGTTTACTCCATAATTTTCAAAACTCCCGCTTTACCCCTTGAATTTTAAATTAATCTCATTTAGCTCCATCTGTAAGAACTTCTATTGAAAAGAGACAGGAAAAAGAGGTGTGTAACCCTGAACTTCAGGTCAGGACCAACCAGTTTGCCCCATAAATTTTAAAAACTCTTTACCCCTTGTATTTGAATTAATCTCATTTAGCTCCATCTGTTAGAACTTCGATTAAAAAGAGACAGGAAAAAAGGGAGCGGGATCACATGGTCTTTCTGCCAAAATTTCAGCTATAAACAAATGGAAAACGACCATGTGACCCACTTAACCCCTCTTTTTCTGTTTGATATTAATAAAAATTCTAACAAAAGGGGTTAACGTGAGACTAAATCAAAGTTCAATAGGGAAAGTGAGAATTTTTCAAAATTTGGAGGGCAAGCAAATTGGGATGACTCCAAAATTCTGGGGCTGCCGAAAATTAAACCCACATTCTAATGAGATAAAATTAGAGGGACAAACCAGAAAGCTTCAATCAGACCAGCAATTGAGTCCCACCACACTAGTGTTGCTGCCGATCATCATACTGACTTGCCTCCTCTGCATAACCATTCCTGTCGCTTTCATTGCTATTGTTATTGTGCTTGTTATCAGTGTCTGGTTGTTCCCTTTCCCTGTTCCATTGCTCTATCTTAGCCCTTCTTTCAACGCTACTTTCCCTGACCGGACTCCTATTCCTCCTTCCCCCAGCACCGGGGCTTCTACTTCTTCCTCGACGGCCAGGACTACGGCTTTTGGGCCGCCTCCTATCATGGTAACGATGATCCCTCTCATCCTCTCTTCTACCAAAACCACGACCTCCATGTGGACCTCCATGTGGACCTCCATGTGGACCTCCATGTTGTGGACCTCCATATGGACCTCCATGTGGACGTTCCTCGTAACCACGGTTCCTATGAGGACTGTGACTTTTGCTGCGACTGCGGCTACGTCTACGTCTGCTCCTCCCAAATAATTTTCGTCTCAACTCCCTAAAATTTGCATAAACAGTGAATAAACCATAAAAAACAATAAATATTTTTTGTACCAAGATACTCTCAAAGAGAAAAAAAAAAAGAAAAAACCAAACTCACCTACTAATCTTCTTCAAATGCATAAAGTTGCAGTATCCACCACGGCTGCATACATTTTCCTCATACTGCCTACATGTGGCTTCACGAAAATCCGTCACTGGAGAGAAGTCAACAATAATGGGCCGCCCTAATAAAATATTCAAGAAATTTCCAAAAATATTATAACTTCGTGAAGAACTATTTTTTTCAACTACCAGCCACTACAACTATGTTATGCCTCTGAAAACGAGGAAACTGGGTAGAAGAGAGGAAGATATGATTAAAAAATCGATGTAAATCCACAGAGAACAGCGTGCTCTACATGCAACTGCACGTCAAACTAAACCGTAAAAATATGCATTTCAAACTACACTATCCTAAAATTTTTAACTTTATAACAGAGGACTCAATTTTGATTCCAATTCTTAGAATTGTCCGTGTCTCACGTATATGCCTTTAATATTTCATAAATATTTAATAATTCAGAAGAAGAAGAGGAGGGGGGAATCAAATAAAACAAACACAAGCACATGTATTCTTTTCTTAACATAATATTCCTATCACAAATCCATTTGAAACATAAGCAACATGTTTGAAAGAAAAAAGATTTCCAAAGAATATAAGTAATGATGTTGGAGTTACTTGACCAAAACGTACTTCATCACATTGAAAATTTAAGATGAGTAAAAGACAGCACAAATTTACAACAGTCATAGCTGAGATATTTTAATTCAATCGTGCCAAGCCATTTGGGCTAAAACGGGCTCTGGTTTGAATCTCAAATCCCTAGGACCTGAAATCAGATTTAGAATCGAGTATTAGATCCTGTAAATGTATTCTTAGACTATGATTTCATCTCTAATTCTAATGGTCCGAACAACGAAAGAATGAACTCCAACCCATTAGTCTGAAGAACAAAAGCATAAACTGAAATTTTAATTCAATCGTGCCAAGCCATTTGGGCTAAAACTGGCTCTGGTTTGAATATCAAATCCCTATGACCTGAAATCAGATTTAAAATCGAGTATTAGACCCTGTAAAATCGAGTATCCCTATGGCCTAAGGTCCCGTTCACTTCACAGATTCGAGTTTAAAATTCAAATTTTACTACAGTAAAAAACTCAGTCACATTTAACTTTTTTGCTACAGTAAAAAAACTCACATAAAGTCACATCTCAACTCGAATTATAAACTCGAATCAACGAACTAAACAAGCCCTTTGACTATGATCTCATCTCTAATACTAATGGCCCGAACAACGAAAAAATGAATTCCAACCCATTAGTCTGAAGAACAAAAGCATAAATTCCAACCTTGAAGTATATATTTACATGATTCACAAAAGATATATAAATATACACATATATGTTTATACGTGTTATATATATGTAAGACAAAAAAAAATTAAAAAAAAAAAACCTGCATAGAATCTTCCAGTCAGGCTTTGAAGAGCAGCAGCAGCATGCTCTTCCTCTCTGAACTGCACATAAACATTCCCCACCTGCTCAAGAAAACGACACCACATTCAGAAATCAATCAGACAATGAACAAAAACCCTAACAAAAAAAAAGAAAAAAAAATTCACGCATAAAAAAATTATACCATGTGGTCAGCCAAATTATCACAGATGTTCAAGCTCTCAATCTGGCCGTACTTGCTCAGCTCCTCGAACAGATCCTCATAAAAATCCTTCATTCAACAACAACAAGAAAAAAACAAAATCAAAGCAAAAACAAAAACAAAAAACAGACGAACCAGGAATCGAAGGAAAGAAAGGGAAAACCTCGAAGTTGTCTTGGATCTTGCGGGGGTCGAGGGACTGGCCCTGGGTGTCGACGCCGGGGGCGGTGAGCATGTCGGGGCGCTGGTACATGTTGGAGAGGAGGAGAGTGGGGCTGATGCTGGGCTTGGTATGGAGCCTGGAGCAGCGGTCGCCATGTCTGCAAGCTCCGATCTTGAAGTAGAACGGGCAGTTCACTCGGTCCTTCTCCGTCCCGAAAATCGATGCCAAGTGCTCCGCCATTGTCGCTTCTCCTCAGACTCTTCTTCTTCTTCTTAATCTCATCAATGGTTTTGCCGTGATCGGTTGATTTTATGCTTTTTCTTACGTTTCCTCTCTCTTTCTTTGTTTGATTTGATTTGAGATTTTTGGTTTAGGGTTTTATTGGGGAGGTGGATTTTGCAAAACTTATTTTGTTTAATAACTAAATCTGCAAAATATCGAAAACCAAGCAGGTTTGCCCGAGTGGTCTAAGGGGGTAGACTTAAGATCTACTGCACTACGGTGCGCGTGGGTTCGAACCCCACAGCCTGCAAGGTTTTTTCTTTTGTTTATTCCAATCTTTGAAAAGAAGAAGAAGGAAATATTAGAGAAAATTACCTTTTTAAAAAACTTTATATTTTGATAAGTTTTAGTTTAAAATATAAAAATATATGGGTTTATGTTCAGATATGTAAGTAAAAGGGAGTTCTATTTCAAGGTGTATTTTTTAAAAATTTCTCGTTAAAAGTATAGCAACATATATGGCCTATTGAGGCCCATAATTTTAGTAGATGACCAAAACTTTTTAAAATTAAATAGATGTCATTCCATTAGTATAATTCCTGAAAAGGACATAATCACCCTTTTCCATTGGCTCCAAACCTCAATCAAACTATTCCCCATCTTTTTCATGTTTCCTCCCTCTATGACTTCTCTGCTTTTTTTCTCTCTATGTTTCCACATCACTCTCTCTCTTCGCCTCTCCCTCTCTCTTTGTGTGTGTTTCTCTCTCACACTGTTAGCGTTGCCGAAGATTTCGACGGACACCATTGAGTTGCACGTGATGGAGACAGAGATCTCTATCTACACAACGGAGGTGCAGACGAGAGCCAAAAGAGAAAGAGGGGGAGAAAGAGAGAGAAAGAGAGAAAGAGAGAAAAAGAGAAAGAAATGAGAGATAAGGGGGAGTCAATAAATGATTGACCATAAATAACACTCTTCCCCTTTCTCAATATATGCTTGAAGCCGGGTTGTCAAAATACTAAGCTCATCTAAAAAATAATTCATTGCTCCATATTCTAAAATTAAGAGAGAAGAAGTAAGATTGCAATCAAGTTTGGAATTGGAGATTGAGAAAGAGGTAGGAAGAAGGAGGAGGAGGCGAAGTGAATTGTTTCGTTTGAGAGAATGAACGTGAATGGAAGAAGAATTAGATATTAAAGACGAGGGCAAAATAGGAAAGTCAATAATATAACTTAGAAATAGCGACGGAATGCCTAATTGTAAGAAAATAATGTCAAATATTTCGCCACCCAGCCTAATTTCCTAATATTAAGGGCTAATTACTTTGATATACTCTAGATGTATTTGACGATTGATTTTTTTATTTACGTAAATGAGACTTCAAATATGAAAATCTCTTGAAATTTTGATATAATAAGAATTATGACATCTTATAAGTTAGTACATAAATTAGAATTAGAGTTGTTGTCTCTAACATTATTCTTCCCAACTGTAATAATATAAATCTTGGGATCCATCTTGCAAATGATGAAAATTTAAGCTGTATTGATGCAATTTATCTAAATATTAGTGGAGAGATTAGAGAAGGAGTGAGAAGGAAAACGATAATATTTTGTTATGTGCAATGGATTTAAAAAGAAGAAGAAAAAATAAAAAAAGGGAAAAAAAATCTTTTCTAGCTTAGTATGGTCCTTTATTTTGACAGCATTAGTGTTCTAGTCATGTTAGACTTTAAAATTAAGCTCAAGTGACTCAATTTTTTATTTAATATTATAAAATAGATAACCATATGTTAAAGCATAAATGTACAGTGTACATATTATTTTTAGCCTAGTGTACATTTTATTCTTTGCCTAGTGTACATTGTTTTGTCACGTATATTAGTGGTCAAACTAGTAGCCCTACTGTATATTCCACATTGTACAGAAACTACATATAAATACAATTGTTTTAGCTCAGCACATTAGCCGCTGAGTCTTTCCCAATTCCAGAGCATTCTTCTTCTCCTCCATTATTCCTTTGGTTGCAGTTTCTATTTTGGTATCATAGCATTTTAGCCTTTGAGCTCTCTTCGATCCAATGGATTCTTCCTCTCACTCTCCAACAACACCCATGGCTTTTTCCTCTGCAAATCAAACCCAAGAAATTCCTGCTCGTTCACCCACAAATCCTTTTGCTCAACCCAGTTTCCAACCAAACAATTTCCAAATCCTAAACCACAATCCTAACCCAAATCAAGTCTACCAAAATCCACTTCCTTCTCTCAACCAACCTCTCTCAATTAAACTAGATCGAGACAACTATCTGCTTTGGAAAAATCAGCTCTTGAATGTTATCATAGCTAATGGGTTAGAAGAATTTATTGACGGCTCTAACCCACCTCCTCCCAGATTTTTAGATCTTCACCAACAAGTTCGTAATCCCCGATTCGTTACTTGGCAATGACTAAATCGACTCTTAATGAGTTGGTTCTACTCATCTCTCACCGAAATCATGGTTGGGCAAATCGTCGGTTACCAAACTGCCTACGAGATCTGGCAAGCTCTTGAGAGGAGCTATGCAGCTAACTCTAGATCTCGCCTGATAGAGCTTCTCACCGAGCTGCAGAGCTTAAAGAATGATGGAATTTATGCAGACGAATATGTCTTCAAAAAGAAGACTATAGCATACAAGCTCGCCTCCATCGGAGATCCGATCTCGAATGCGGACCAGTTGATATATCTTTTTCAAGGCCTTGGACCAAAATACAATACTTTTGTTATTATCTTGGAGGCTAGACCAGAACAACCATCGATTGAAGAGGTGCATAGCTTGCTCTTGACCTATGACGCCAGACTCCAACGTCAAAATTCCTCTGAACAGCTAAGCCTGCCTCAAGCCCACTTAGCCTCTCTCCCTACACCAAAAGAACAACAACACCCTAATTCTTTTAATTTCAAACCCCAAAATCAAAAACCAAACTTCACTTAGAACAATTATTCTCACAACCCTTCTCCTCGATCATTTTCTCCACATAACTACCACCATAATCCCACTAGTCAACCTAGCATACTTGGAAAGCCAACGAATCGAACCCAACAAGGAAGATGGAATTCTTAGAACAATCCAGGTCCACGAACCCAGTGTCAAATTTGTTGGAAATTCGGTCACACCGCATCTGAGTGTTACCACAGAACAAATTTAAAATATCAACCACAACCCGCTAGTCACCTAGCTTAACTCACACATCAGACTCCCATGACTGCTATGTTGGCAAGCTTTCCGAAGGCTACACCGAACGGTGTTCAGGACAGCTATTGGTTGATGGACTCAGGACCCTTACATCACCTCACCTCTAACTTCTCTGGTCTAAGCAATCCAACTCCATATTATGGTAATGAGCAGGTGATGGTAGGAAATGGTAAGAGAATTAACATTTCTAGTGTTGGCGATGTTTCTATTTTAGCTCGCCCAAAACCACTTCACTTGAAAAATGTTCTTCACACTCTAGAAATCACAAAAAATCTTATTAGTGTAACTCGGTTGTGTAATGATAATAATGCTTTAGTTGAATTTCATCCAACTCATTTTTTTGAGAAGGACTAATACTCGAAGAAAATTCTACTCTAGGGTCGTCTGGATCAAGGACTCTATAAGCTCACCAACCCATCTCTCCACACCTCAACACCTCAAGTTCATTCCAGTTTTGTCCACTCAAGTATAGCTTCTCCCACAGCTAATCTTTCACATGCTCGGTCTAGAGATCACGTTCTGTGGCATAGCAGATTAGGCCACCCAGCTTCTAGAGTTGTTTCCAGTGTTTTAAATCAATGTAATGTGCAAGACAACTCCAGTACTAATTTTGAGTTCTGTGTCTCATGTCAATTGGCTAAAAGCCACCGAAAACCTTTTGCACTGTCAAACTCTAAAGCAATAAAACCTTTTGATTTGGTTCATTTAGACTTGTGGGGTGCCTCACCAGTAAATTCTATTATTGGTGCTCGATATTTTCTTCTATTTATTGATGATTTTTCTAGATTTTCTTGGATCTATTTACTCAAAACAAAGGATGAAACCTTCAGCACTTTTATTAAATTTAAAAACATGGTTGAGACTCAATTTGATAAGAAAATCAAAATGTTACAAAGTGACTGGGGTGGTGAATACAGAATTGTTTCTACCTTCCTTCAGAGTCATGGAATTCGACATAAAGTTGCATGTCCTTATACTCCCCAACAGAACGGTAGGGTTGAGAGAAAAAACAGGCATGTTGTCGAGATGGGCCTCACTTTGCTTGCTCACTGCCATGCTCCTCTCTCTCTGGCCTTTTGCTTTCCAAACAAGTGTGTTCCTCATAAATAGACTCCCAACTCCTGTTTTGTCGAACAAAAGTCATTATGAAACACTTTACTCAAAAAAACAAACTATGACTTCCTCCGAGTGTTTAGATGCGCTTGTTTTCTATTCTTAAGACCTTATAATAACCATAAATTACAGTTTCGATCAACTGAATGTGTGTTCTTAGGATATAGCTCCCAACACAAAGGTTACCTTTACCTACATAAAGAAACAGGTCGCATCTATGTTTCTAGGCATGTTGTCTTCAATGAACAGTCCTTGCCTTATGTTAATCAGACTCAACAACCTCCCACTCAATTTCCTAATGTAGGTTTCATAACTCCTTCCTATTCTTCTCCTTTACATCATAGCTCTTCTCCATCCTCTTCATCCTCTCTTCCGACTTCTTCTAATTGTTCCACTCTTTTATCTATTCCCATATCACAGTCTCCCTCCACTCCTACTTCTCTTCAACAATCTCATTCATCTCCTCCATCCGTCTCACCTCTTCCACTATCCGAGAACTCTCCAGATATTTCCTCATCTTCCCAACAAACTTCTCCCTCCTCATCCTCACCTAGAAATGTCACCAATTTTAGCACCAATGTTAATGATCATACTATTGTACTACCAACTAATGCTCTTTACAGGAAACCAGAGGCCTCAAACAAGCACCCTATGACTACAAGAGCCAAAGAAGGAACTTTCAAACCCAAGGCTTTTCTCGGTGCTACTTCTAAAATAAAGCTACCCTTACTTGAGCCCACTACTATCAAAGAAGCCTTGAGCCAACCAGAATGGTACAATGCTATGCAACTCGAGCTTCAGGCACTTCATAAAAACCACACTTGGTACCTTGTGCCACCTCCAACCAATGCTAAAATCATAGGTTTCAAGTGGGTATTCACGCTCAAACTCAAGCCTGATGGAACAATTAAGAGACATAAGGCTCGACTCGTGGCTAAAGGGTTCCATCAAACTCAAGGCCTTGATTACTTTGAAACCTTTAGCCCGGTGGTGAAACCCACAACCATCCGGATTGTACTTAGTATAGCCTTGTCTAAAGGCTGGCCTCTCAAACAACTGGATGTTCATAATGCGTTTCTCAATGGGGACTTAGATGAAGAAGTCTTCATGGCACAGCCACCCAGGTTCATTGATGCTACCAACCCCCACATGGTGTGCAAGCTATCTAAAGTACTCTATGGACTTAAACAATCCCCACGTGCCTGGTTTACTAAGCTTAGTCATCAACTTCTTCAATGGGGGTTTCAAGGCTCAAAATTTGATACTTCTATGTTCTTCCTGTTCAATGGTACAACCATGCTTATCCTTCTAATTTATGTTGATGACATAATTGTAACAGGAAGTCACCCTCAACTAGTTCAGACTCTCATTACTCACTTGAACCATCATTTTGCATTAAAGGATCTTGGTCCCTTATCTTATTTTTTGGGTATTGAAGTGAGTAGAACAGGTAATGCTCTCCATCTTTGCAAGCAGAAATATATTTCTGATCTTTTGAAGCGAACTGAGATGTGGGGATGCAAATCTCATGTCACACCAATGTCATCTGGACCAACTTTGTTTCTTTATGATGGAGAGCCCCTCTCCGATGCTACAACCTATCGTAGTGTTGTTGGTGCTTTGCAATATTGCACACTGACCCGTCCTGAAATCAGTTACTCAGTTAATAAAGTGTGCCAATTCATGCACGCCCCAACTTCCACACACTGGCAAGCTATCAAGCGCATCCTCCGATACCTTAAGGCCACTCTTCATCATGGTTTGTCTCTTTAAGCCTCATCAGATTTTTCACTTGTGTTATACAGATGCAGATTGGGCTACTGCCCCGATGATAGAAGAAGTACTAGTGGTTACTGTACATTCCTGGGTTCAAATCTCATTTCCTGGTCTTCTTCAAAACAGAAGGTGGTTTCCTGTTCAAGTGCAGAATCAGAATATCGGGGTCTTGCCAATGCGGCAGCAGAGGTTAGCTGGGTTGAATCGATTCTTCATGAGTTGCAAGTTGCTCTACCTACTCCACCACTACTTCTATGCGACAATATTAGTGCCACCTACCTTGCTGCCAATCCCATTATGCACGCTCGTACTAAGCATGTAGAAATCGACTATCATTTTATCAGAGAACGTGTTATGCAACATATCTGCGCGTTCAGTTTACGCCCTCTGAAGACCAACTTGCAGATGCCATGACCAAGCCTCTCCCAACTCAACGATTCTTGAATCTTCGAAACAAGCTCACTGTTCTCCCGAGACCAATGAGCTTGCGGGGGGATGTTAAAGCATAAATGTACAATGTACATATTATTTTTAGCCTAGTGTACATTTTATTCTTTGCCTAGTGTACATTGTTTTGCCACGTATACTAGTGGTCAAACTAGTAACCCTACTGTATATTTCACATTGTACAGAAACTACATATAAATACAATTGTTTTAGCTCAGCACATTAGCCGCTGAGTCTTTCCCAATTCCAGAGCATTCTTCTTCTCCTCCATTATTCCTTTGGTTGCAGTTTCTATTTCCATAAATAAGAATCTCCTGATTTAAAATGAGAGGTTCATTTTAAAAGTAAATATTATTCCACAGCCTCGAAGGTAAATACTAGTGCAACCATATTAAGGAAAGACGAAAACGACAATATCTTGATGTAATATATTTTTTTTTCTTTTTAACTGAAATGATGTAAGCTTTTTTTGCTTATTCGACTATTATATCTTTCTTTTGTTCTTTTGAAAGTCAATAATAACGGTGCAAAGGGTCTAGAGAAAAAGGAGGACGATAATATTTTGCGGAAAGGAGATTTAAGTTGCATAGGGCCAGATGTTTACATATTACTTTTGATTTCTAGTCAAATAATTATATTTGTTAAAAAGATATTAATAAAAAATAATAAATAAAAATCTAAACTCATACACTCTAAGAATAAGCTCTACAATTTTCTTTTTCTTTTTCGAGCATCTTATGAGGGCTCATTACTTTAACAAAATTGGCGAGCTAAGTGGTACAAGACTTTTACATTTAAGTAAATAAAGTTTTGTTAATGTAAAAGAAATTAGATTATCATAAGTGAGCTACGATCTCTCAATTTGAATTAAGAGGTTAATTAATATTTTTGCTTAAGAAATATTATGTATGTTGAGCAGTACAGTAATAGTTTTAAAGGGCAAAGCCAAGCACACAGCAGGTTTGCCCGAGAGGTTAAGGGGGTAGACTTAAGATCTACTGCACATAAGTGCGCGTGGGTTCGAACCCCACAGCCTGCATTTTTTCACTCATTAACATTTTTTTTTTTTTTTTTTTTTTTTTTGTTGCAATAAAGCAATATTTAACAAAACGTAAAATTGTTTCAAGGTTGAAGAAGATATTAGTTATTTATCAGGTTTGGGCGCTGCATGGACGTCTAGGAACGTAATTTTATATGGAACACAGAAGATATTTAGTTATGTATGAGCTAGGATGACAATTTTTGATATGGATTTAAATTATACCATCTTGTTATATTAATTGTTAATTGTCATGTATTTATGCAAAAACTGTTACCGTTTTAAGTACACGTTTGGCTGGGTTTTTTTTTTTTTTTTTTGAAATGGGAAATGCATTCCAACTCAAAACAATAGCAAACACTAATCCATAAACAGAAGACCTATACGTATTTAGCGACTCAATCCCGATATCAGAGATTCGATTGAAACAATCAACCATATATGTATTAAGTTCCAACAAAGGAAAACCAAAGAGACACATAACTAATCGAGCACAAAATTGACTCATGCAAGCACACTAAATCTAATGCTAATTAGATGACAAATTCAAGAGTTAATTAAGAATTTGGCTTAGGTAACTTAAAAGAGAATTTAGTTGAATTTTGAGCCATCCTAGTATCGATTCTCTTGTCTACCGGCCATGGCAGACTTCCATGATGTAAGATTTCATTAGTGTAGTTTGTGTTTCTCAAGTATTTTGAAGATTATAATGACTGAAAATTCCTGTGAATTGTGCCTGCCCTCAGTATTCAGTAATCACGAAATATTTAGTCCATTACAATGGTAGAGGTCGTTCAATCTCCTTGCACCAAAACTTAGAAGATTCTTAAAATTTTTTTTTTTTTTTTTTTTTTTTTTTTTTTTTTTTTTGAAAGTTCTCCATAATAAAAAGTTATTTGAAATTTACTAACTTGAAATTTGGAAAGTAGTAGTAGTTCACTTTGCACGGCTTAGGTAGAAAAAAACCAATCAAAAAAAAAAAAAAAAAAAAAAAAAAGGAGCATTGCCAGTTGAGGAAGTGCAGTGATATGTTGTTGGGTGATGGTGCCGTTGCTGTCATCTACTAGTAAGAAAACCTAAGTAGTGATCGCATAGAAAACCTAAGTAGTGATCGCATGTATAGCCTAACAGTAAATCCACACCTAATTCTGTCTTAGGGTGTAGAGTTCAAATGCTCCACTTTTTTTTCTTTTTTTTTTTTTTTTTTAAAAAGAACGGGGGCAGGATATAGAAACAATTACATCCGAAAGTAGAAAATCATCTTAGAAGCACGGCAGTAGCCAAAATAGTCAAAATGCCGCTCAAAGGATAATATGATAAGAACATGTAATAAAAAAGATCAGTTCAGCACTGTTCAAGCTCTTAAAACAAAACTTCTCTCGAGTATTATTGGGAAAACAAGATTTCAAGTTTCGAAAACTAGCCAGTCTACAGATGGAACTTATTCACTGCAAGTGAAATTCCATTGCTTAAAATCCCGCATAAATATCGAAAACTTCATGAATAATAATTCCTAGTAGGGCTCAACGGGTGCGCGGAACTTCGCTCCAGCATAGACTGCTTCTGAACCAAGCTCCTCCTCAATTCTCAAGAGCTACAATCAAGAAAGATAAGAAGACGGATGAAATTCTAGTACCAAAGTTAAAATCAAGGATTATTATCATTGGTGCAAAGTTCAATTTGCATTGTTCCTATTTAACTCCTATTGTAATTTCTGTTAAAATTATATAGAAAAAAAAAAAGAGTAACGCAATCACGTGATCTTTTTGTTTGAATTTCTGCCAAAAACAGACTTTTTCCATATGATTTCAATAGAAATTCTTACAAAAGGGCTTAAATGAGACAAATTCAAAATTTAAGGAGTAAAGTGAGAGTTTTTAAAATTTAAGGGGCAAAGAGGGAATGACTCTGAAGTTCATGGGACAGCAGTGAGATTAATCCTAAAATAAAAAATTATATTGTACAAAGGAGAGAGTTCAAAGAATATAAGATCAACCTGATTGTACTTAGCAAGACGCTCTGATCGGCATGGAGCACCGGTCTTAATTTGACCCTACAAAGAATAATTTCACAAAAAAAGTGTGGTTAGACAGCCGATTGATGGAAAGGCTTGTAAAATAATTACAATGGCCCCTGACAGAGCCTTGGATCAGATAGTTACCGTAGCCAAACCAACAGAGAGATCAGCAATGAAAGTATCCTCTGTCTCTCCACTGCAATGAAATAATGATAATAAGTTAACGACAAGAAATTTAAGACAGATGGAGAAGACTTATTTTTTTAATAAATAATGCTGCTTTCAAGGTTGACTTCCAAACCTGCGGTGGCTTGCCATAACACCCCACCCGGCTCGTTTAGACATCCTTACAGCTTCAATGCTCTCTGTTACAGATCCAATTTGGTTCACCTGTAATAGTACAACATCATAAAGGTGATTTGCATGTTATAATCATAAAGGACAATATCACAAAAGTGCCAATGAACAATTCAAGGTGAGATTATATCAATACCTTGAGAAGAAGAGCATTGCAAGCCTTATCTTTAATTGCCTTCTCAACCCTCTGAAAAGATGAATCCGAATATCAAAGTCATTAGATTTTCTATTCAATGAACGGAAATGCACTTTTCTTCTAATATGAAAACTCAGAAAACAGAATACGTCCTAACAGAACCAGTATCATAAATGATCATGAGTGCAAACCTTTGGGTTGGTGACCAAGAGATCATCTCCCACAATTTGAACTTGTTCCCCGATTTCAGAGGTTAGCTTGGCGTAGTGCTCCCAGTCATCTTGGTCAAACGGATCTTCAATTGACACAATAGGGTACTCACTCACAAATGACTTGTAAAGATCTTTAAGAGCATCTCCTGGGATCTTCTGTGAACAATCATTGTTCTGTAGGGAATTTGTAGGGAAAAGAGTGATGACAAAATTAAGTAAATAACACTGCTCCAAAAAAGAAAACTAAATAATAGTACTTCAATTAATCAGAGAACAAGAAAGGGATTTGATCAAACTAAAAGATGGCCAAATGCAAAAATATAGGTTTAGCACGGATTTTCTTCACTACATCTCGTAGAGTATGCCAATTGCAAGAGTTACACAAATTAATTTGGTAAATCATCGCAGATATATGTTTTTGGAATTTGGCCGGTGAGCCTTTAACATAATCAAACTCTCCCTTGGCATGTAAGGTTTTCATTTGACTAAAGCAAGTAAAAAATATCATATCCATAATTTTATGCAATAACAGGTAAACTAACCTCTTCCTTGAAGTTCAGGTCGTACGTTTTATCTTCTCCATAAAACTCGGAAGCAGCAACATCCATTCCAATGACAACCTAAGAGAGCGAAACAAAATTACCTCTTTGGATCCCTTTAAGTTTCAAAGTTCTCAGAGGAAGAAAAGAAATATGATTCTCCTCTTCAACTCAAGAACACATTGGAAGAGAAACTTACTTTGCCTGTGTATCCAGCCTTAGCAATGGCTATCTTGAGCAATTCAAGACCTTCCTTGTTCTCCTGGATAAACAAAAAAGGATGAATGACTAAAATGGTGAAAGGAAACAGGATATACATTTAAGGTAAAAAAAAAATGCACTTGATATCAGGATCATATTAATCCCACCTGAATATTAGGGGCAAAGCCACCTTCGTCACCAACGTTAGTTGCATCCTGACCATATTTCTTTTTTATTACAGCCTGATGAGAGGGGGAAATCTAGTTAGTAAAGAACCAAAAAGCAGGAATAATTTGTCTACACATAACAAAAGTCAGAAAAGAAAGTGCAATCCACCTTCAAATGGTGATAGACTTCAACGCCCATCTTCATGGCCTCCTTAAAAGTGGAAGCCCCAACAGGAAGAATCATGAACTCCTGCAAGGACAAAGGAATCGTGATACTAAAAACCAAAGAATTCCTGGAAAAACAGATTTCAAAGAAATTGCTAAGAAGCATACCTGCATTGCAAGTTTGTTTCCAGCGTGTGATCCACCATTGATGACATTGAAGGCAGGAACGGGTAAGACCAAGCTCTTGTTGCCAGAAAGGTTGGCAATGTGCTGCACTCAATGAATGCGGTAAACCCGATATTAGATTTACAAGAATCACACAAGCATAGGAAAGAGAAATAACAACAATATGTCTCATCCAATTATACTGTAATGAAGAGTGATAAAAGCCAATGAAGTAAATGGAGATTTATCCACAATATACCTTGTAGAGAGGGATATTGTTGACACTAGCACCAGCTTTGCAGACTGCAAGAGACACAGCCAATATGGCATTTGCACCAAGCTGAAAAGCCAAAAGTACAAATAGTTATACAAATTAAAAATAATTACATGATTCCTAAATCTCATGCTTTGTGGAGCAAAAGTTAATGTACCTTCTGTTTGCACCAACCCCACTCATTAACAGTTCCGTCAAGTTGTTGAACCATGAAGTTGTCAATTTCAGTCTGCTTGGTTGGGTCCTGAGAAGTTAAATCGGAAGTGTTCAGTACCAACCAAAAAAAAAAAAAACGAAAAAACTAAAATACAAATTCCCAAACGTTTAAGGATGAACATTATGTGATTCAGAAGTAATTAAGTTCTACAAAAAAATAATAATAAAATAATAAAAAGTTCAACCCACCTTCCCAATCAATGCAGGGCCAATAATGGTGTTGACATTCTCAACAGCCTACATACATACGGAAAGAAATAGATTAATATACCATTGATACTGCTTTTTTAATCAAATTATATCACAATATAAACACAACTACCACATAGATCAACTAAATTTGCAACCCCAATACGCAGTAAATGGACAAACCGATAACCAACCTTCGAGACACCTTTTCCAAGGTAGTCCGACCCTCCATCTCTTAGCTCAAGGGCCTCGTAAACTCCTATTAACAAGATAGATAAAAAAAATGTTGATCAAGAAAACAAATTCTGGGTATTTCTCAATCACTGATTTAACTAATAAAATAAAGTTTTAATAAAGATAAATTACGGGCAATTTGGCAAACGGACAAAAAATAATATTTTTTTGAAAGAAATAATGGATCAGATAAACAAGTGGCATACCAGTGGATGCACCACTTGGAACTGCGGCTCTATGCTTAGTTCCATTTGACAAACCCACATCAACCTGCACCAACATATAAATCAATAATTTTACTATATTTTTTATTTATATATATATATATGTATATATATATTTACGGAATAAAGAAAAAAATAGAAGAATTACAGAAAAATAAGGACTAGAATCTCTTGCTCAAAGCAAATAACTTTTGGAAACAGATTGTTCGTGATCAATCCGAACAGTAATATTCCGAGAGAAATGATAATCAAAGCCAACACTAACTGGATCTCCGAGATACAAAACACAAATATTCCAAAAAGAACAGACTTTAGGGGAAAAAAAAGGGAAAAATAATTGTGTTGCAAATCGTTAAGCGAATAAAGAAGAAGATGAGAAAGATCGGTAGGAATCGAACCTCGACGGTGGGATTGCCACGGCTGTCGAAGATCTGCCTTGCCTTGACGATCTGAATTGTCGCCATAACTGAAGCTTGAGATTAGATCGAGGGAAAAAGAGAGAGAGGAAACTGTTAGGTGAAAGCTGCGAATAGCGTTACTTACGAGACTGAGACAAGACGATAGAATGGAACCCCACTATTTGTAGACGATCATTAGTTAATCTTGGCCGTACGATTAAGTATTAGGTTTGGCTTATATCTCAACCATCTAACTCGTCCATTTATTTTCAGCACAATTACCTCCTTAGCTTGTCGCGGTTTAACGAAACTTTGAGTACGTTTGGTTGGAGGATTCAAACTATAGTTCTGTTTATTTCGCTGATTTGAGTTTAGAATTTGAGTTTTGTTATAGTAAAAAGCTCTTACAAACAATCACATCTAACTTTTTTGCTACAGTAAAAAGCTCTCACATAAAATCACATCTCAACTCGAATTAAAAACTCAAATCAGCGAACTAAACGGGCCCTATGTGATTCGAATTATTTTTTATTTACGTGAATTTTTTGTGAGAGAAAATACAGTAGCGAACCACGAATCCCTCTACCAAACATCCTCTTAAATTTTCGTTTGGTCGGAGGATTCAAACCATTTGATTCGAACCATTTTTTATTTACGTGTATTTTTTATGAGAGAAAATACTGTAGTGAACCAGGAATCATGATTCGAATCAGGGAACGAATCCCTCTACCAAACGCCCCCTTAATAATCAACTTCTGAATTTATAAAATTATTATAATATGTCACGTTTTACTATATTTGTTCAAATTTTCAATTAGATTTAAAGGATAAAAAATTAAAAGATTAAAAGATTTATATTATATTTAAAATGAGATGTTAGAATTTTTCATTAAACGTGTTTTTTCTACACTTATTTAACACAATCATAGTTAAAATTGAGTAATTTACCACAATTTTACAAATTGAGGAGGTAACTTACTAAAATTAAAAATTCAAAGGAGAAATTGCTAAAACCATACAAGTTTTTGAGGGTAAACATATAAAATATCCTTTTAAAAATAAATAAAAACATGAGATAAAATCATTTTAATACCATTTGTTATTCAAAAACATCTCGTTTCATGATTTTAATAACAATATTGTTAGTGATACTAACTCAAATTATTAATTTTTGTGTAGCAACTAATGTAGTACGTGAGTTTTTTATATTTTTATTAGTAGATGTAATCTTTTATCATTCATTGACGTGATAATATTTTAAATATTTATTAATGTAAAGATGACAGCTTATTCTACATCAGTTAATACATAAAAATTAAAATTAAAATTGATATTTTAACATTATTATTTTAAAATCACGAAGCGAGATGTTTGCGAATAACAAAGGTTACTAAAATGTGGATGGAAAAAAGGCAAGTAATTCACAAAAAAGAAAGAAAGAAAGAAACGTGAAAAACTGTGGTAATTTAACTTCACAATTAAGATTAGGAGTGTGGGACCACATGTAATAACTGAGAAATTAATTAGTCCGAACCCTGATATAAATAAATATTTATACAATGAACTTCTTATTGTATAAAATAGAATATGCCTATTTACATTGATATTGGAATTTGCGTCCAAGATGGTCTTATATTAAGCTCATTTAGTTCACTGATATGAGTTTTTAATTTGAGTTAAGATATGACTTTATGTGAGAGCTTTTTACTGTAGTAAAATAGTTAGACGTGATTGTTTCTAAGAGCTTTTTACTGTAATAAAATTTAAAATTTAAATTCAAATTAGTAAAATGAACGGGACCTAACGTGATTGGCCATTGTTTCATCGTTCATTAGGTTAAGAATGTGATGGCTTGAGTGCATCTGCCTTATAACACAGGCTTCCGAGTTCCGTCCAAGAATTTTTTTTTCATTTAATCCTTAAAATATGGTTAAAAAAAAGGAAAATTATCTATTATTGTATCGGTATGTTTATACGTCATTACACTTTAAATATGAAACTTCTTCTATATTTTTTTAAAAAATAATTAAAAAAATCGTATTCGTGTTTTATAATTAGGGAATAATCAACTGTTTGTTAAATTTTCTATTTTTTTGGTAAATTATTATATTTCTATATATGGCAATAGGGATCACTTTTTTTTTTACTCTAAAATTTTTTGAATGGATTAATTTATGTATTATGTGATTGTTAATGATTTTACAATTAAATAACACGCGGTAATATGTATTCTTAGGGACATTTTGCAACATAAACCTTCCATTTTTTCTTTTTACATTTTCCAATTTTATTTGTATAATTCTTCTACTACAGATGAAACTGAGCAGTTTTATTAAAATCTTCAAGGCATTTACTTTGTATTTTGGAATAATCTTGTATTTTTAAAAACAACTATATTTTCTTTTTTTGAAATTTGTAAATTGCACCAAATTAGGTGTTTGATAGGTTCAAATTAATTTTTTTTAATGAAAATTATTATTATTATTTTTTTATTTTTATTTTTTACAAAACACTCAAATAAGAAAAAAACAACATTTTAACCACTTAAATTCACATCTTGTAAATCCACTTCAATCTTCTTACAAGAGAGTTTACAATTATATTTTGGTGAGTCACATAATTTTTGTTGCATGTTTCATTAATAATAGCAAAGATCAACGTGAATAACAAAATAAGAAAACTTATTTTATACTTCAGGTGTCTAATAATTGATATTATGGCTAAGATCTTGATTGCATATTCACATGAGATATGGCATCTTCTCCGACAAGGGGTTGACTATTAGGGGCCTCACTGCAAGATTTGCAACTTCTAAAATTCTTTATAATATTGGACATACTTTGATGAATAAAAACAAAACTATATATTCATGACTTTTTTTGTAGGGCATTGATCTTGCATCTTACACCAATCCCTTTCTCTCTCTTTTTTTTTTTTTTAGTAATGAACATTTATTGACTAACTAAAAAGTTGATTTACAATTCAATTATTTATTTTTATTAGTATCCTTACCCTTTGAGATATATATATATATATTATATTTTCAACTTCAAGACTGAAAAAGGAAAATAAAAATTTGATTATATAGAAAAATTGTTTGCTTCTGTTCCAATGGAGTCAATTTATTAGCGTTTGGTGTGGTGTTAATCTGTTGCTTTCCTTTTTTACGTTTTTTGTCTTCCTATTTCACATAGTTTAGATATTTCTGTGAAAGATAACATAATTGAAGAAAACAAAGATAGATGGGAGACTGGCGATCTTTTTTGTCTTCCTAGAAAATTAGTGAACGTTTGGTTTATGAATTCAGAATCATGATTCAGAATCATTCTCAATTTACGTGTATTTTTTATGAGAGAAAACACTATAACGAGCCACGAATCATGATTTAAATCATGACACGAATCTTCGTACTAAATTTCATTAGACTCCGTTTTGTGGGTATGTAGTACTGTTGTCAATCTTTTGTTGTTCATATCATATTATTATGTTATTGAATATCATTTTATGATTTTATTTCCTTGTAAAATTATGGATTAGTAGTGTCTAATCTACTTATTTACCTCTTATGCATTTTCTTACATGCATGCGTCCAATCTAAACTAATAATAGCATAACAATATTAGACATTAGACAACAACAATAATATATTAGAAATAATAGTAGTATAAAAATTAATAGTATTGAAACGTTAATAATGATAAGAATAATGATGGTTATTATATGTAGTGCTTAAACACAACTTATTTGGTTTCTCTTTTCGTTTAAAGTCAACTTATTTTGTTTTATATTTTTTAAGAGTCAACTTATATATAATATAGTACATCTCTTTAAACCATTAATATTGCTTGAATGTTTATAGCACTAAACACCCTTAGTCCCATATACATATACGTCGTCTGTATATATACTGTGAGTTAGAGGAACTTACGTGGACACTCAAGAGTTATTCAAATACAAAAATATTGTACTAATATAGTAATACGATCTCAACTATAATACCATGGTTCCATTTTTATTTTTATTTTTATTTTTTTACAATAATACTTCGGTTTCCAACAAATTACAATAAACTTCTTTCCATGGTTATAGATGTGACTGAAAGTGACCAAAGGAGACTAAAACAATTTTATTCAAATTGATAAATGGTGGGTAGGTCAAAACTGTTGTTGTTGTTGTTTTTTTTTTTGTTTTTTTTTTGTTTTTTTGTTTTTTTTTTTGCTGCTAATAAAAAAATGTCAAAAATGTTAAATGGTCGGCGTGATGGATGCATTCTCTGAGCATGAGCGTGCTTAATTAGTCACGCTCCATGCTAGGCACTTTGAAGTTGGAACATGCAAATTAGTATAATATTCAAGAAGTGATATATCATTAATATTTCAGGAGCAGAAAGAGATATATAAGTAGTTGATAAGTCGTATCAATAACTCAACTTGACTAAGGAAACATATATAAATATTAATACACAAGAATATAAAATAAATGATATGCAGATATTAGAGAATAGAGACCATGAGTAGCCATCTAGAGAATAACATGAAGAATATAATAATATTAATGCTAAAGTTAGAGGTGAGAGGATATCTAATGCAATATTATAATTAATTTATTAATTATAAATTTAATATTTGAGCGTAAAAAATATTAATAATGTTATTTGTTGTGCTAAATTTATCATATGATATATTTTGTGGTAAATTTTCACCAGCATATGATAAATTTGACATTTAATTCTTATTGGTTGATATAGTTATTTTTTTCATTTAAGTATTACAATTTTTACTTTTTCAAATTATCTTAAAATAAGAAGTTTACTTTTATAGCTTTCAAAGCTTAATAATTACAAGAAAAGTAAAATTTAACATGTCTTATCATATTTTTTTTTGGTGTCAAATATACCATTAGTGTTAAGTTTGCATTAAAGATGGTTTAAACTAATGTAGCATCTATAATTAAGGTCGTCTTATGAATTATGGTGTGGATCAAGTCTATTTCACGAGTCCACGACACTAAAACCATTTTGCCACTAGTCATTTCAATCTATAATTATGGTGTCTGAAGATCACAAGTATATATTTTCTCTCACATAAGTTCACCGCGAGCCTAAAACAATAAAAATTCTCAAGTATATTCTCTTATTTTACAATTTCAATATTCAAGCGCCATAG